GCCCCTCGCTTGCGCTTCCTCTTGAAAAAGCGCCGCTTGGCTTGTGTACGCGCAGTAGTGCTTAAGCTTTATCCGGGCGAGAGCAGTAACTGTAGGACCGCGTAGTTGGTGGCTGTTGCGGTTGCCATAGAGAATGACAAAACTTTGCTAGTGTGGGAGCTGAGCTCCGGACCCACGGTGGAGGCCTTGCAAGTGAGCTGGGGTCAGGGTGGAGGGAGGGGTTCGTAACTTGGGGGAGTCCTCTTATCTGATCTCCGGGTGATACGCTCAAGCAGGAGCTCCTGGATGGGAAGGCCGAAAGGATTTCTTTTCTTTGCTCGCCCACAACCCTGGAGTTTGCCTCCGCATGGCTTCCGTGGTCTGACCACCTATTAAAGCCAGAGTAGTAAGTTGCCAGTTCTTGGCCTCGGGAGCTGTTTAGGGCAAGGGCCTGATGTTGAACCACCTTATGTCCGGTGCCGAGGGGAACCTAGAGTCACAAGAGCTAGATTACAAGTAGCACTACCTGCCAGAATTTCTTTTGGATACACCTGAGATTGATCAATACTGATTTCACTGAGTGGCTGTGAAGGTTAAATGAGACAGAGCACGGATTGAACTGAGCTGTGGGAGATGGGCGAGGCCTTCTATCATCCAGGGAAGTGCACGTGTCTGAATTGGCCTGCCACCGGGAACTAATAATATTAACTTCAATTCCTTAGACAATGGTGTCCATGATTCTCCAGTGTTTGTGTGGCCTATAATAAAAAGTGGTTGTCTATATCTAGTATTCATTTGTAAACCGTACTTGAGTTTGAAGCCATTGGACACCTTAACTCTTAGCTGGGATTACTGAAACTTAGTTTTCATTTCTTTTCTTTTTTTTTTTTGAATGAGTGTCACTCTGTCTCCCTGTCTTCCAGGCTGGAGTGCAGTGGCATGATGAGCGCTCACTGCTGCCCCAAACTCCTGGGCTCAGCTCATCCTTCTGCCTCAGCCTCCTGAGCAGCTGGGACTTCCAGGTGTGGGCCACCACACCTGGCTAAGTTTTTAATTTCTTCTGTAGAGACGAGGCCTTGCTATGTTGCCTAGGCTGATCTCAAACTCCTGTGCTCAAGCGATCCCCCTGCCTCAGCCTCCCCAAGTGCTGAGGTCGCAGGTGTGAGCCGCCACGCTGGGCCTCGTTTTCGTTTCTAACAGTGAAACATTTTGATCCACATTAAGATCCTAGAAAGGACCTTTAACTCTAGATCCTAACAGCTTCAGGAGTTTTCTGAGCTTCAAGAAAGGCTGAATGAAGACACCGTGACACCATTTCAGAAGCAAAGCCTGAGGTTCTTCTCTGCTTTAGAGGTGGTGCTGCCGTCCTGTGTGTGCAGGAGCCCTGGGGTGGGTGTGGCAGACGAGCCTGTAGATGAGCTGGAGGAAGGTCTTTTCTGTGGGGGTGGGGGTGGGGTGGAGGGTGGGGATTGGGAGACTGGGAAGGAGTTCTCTTTTTTTCTTATAAAACTCATCTTTTCGGATACTTACCAAGCCCTCCTCTTGCGAAGCTACAGGAGTCCTGGGTAGAGTTTTTCTGCCTTACCATACAGGTTTTTACCTTAGGCAACACCTGACAGAATCTTTACATTTAAGATGTTAGAGCTGGCCATTGCTTTGCTAAATTCTGGTGTGGCCATGTGCTCTTTGAGCTGTGACTGCCACCATGTTTCCTTAAGCTTTGACCTCCCTCTCCTACTTTGGGGAGGTGAATCTCCTCTCTCTCTCTCTCTCTCTCTCTCTCTCTCTCTCTCTCTCTCACACTCTCACTCTCACTCTCTCAAATTTACTTTCTAAATAAACTATATTTTCCAGTCCCCAAAAAAAGATTATAGGGCTGACCTCTTGCCAAGAAGCTTAGGAGGATGAGGGAGACTGTTTTTCAGTTTTTGGTGGAGAATTTGCTTTGTGCTTAAATAGTCCTTCAAATATGTGTCTCTGGTGCCTTCAGTTACCCCAGCAAAATCATCATCTAAAGATTTAAATAGACTCTTGTGTGCACATGCAGTCATTTTCCTACTCATGGAAGGGCTTGAGCAGAAAAAGAATCAAATATGGATACCTAGAAAGGGTAGCCAGGCGAATCCTTGGCCCTCGGGCTTAGGACTTTAAGTCAGGCGGGGCTGTGGCTAGTAGAGTGGAGCTGGCTCCCAAGGTGATGCCCAGGGAGGAGCCAGATTGCCTGTACTACCTCCAAACCTTTCAGCATGAGCTTCTAGCCCTGGATGCCCAGGAAGGTGGGGTCTGTCGGAGTATGCCTCAACTGGTCAATTTGAAATCTGCAGGAGGCGTGAGACCTGTGCCCACCCCTGGCCCGATCTCCCTTCTGTTCTGTCAGGACCTGTCCAGCAAGTTGGAGGCAGTAGACACTGACCCTACCAGGAGATGCCCATAGCAGAGCCTGATATGAGACCTGTGCCAGCCCCTGGCCGATCTCCCTCCTGGTATTCAGGGCCCTCCCAGCTAGATCGAGGCAGTAAATGTGGGCCCTGCCAGGATGTGCCCACAGCAAAGCCATTCGCCCTCAAACTCCTACTTCCCTGGTCATCAGAATTTTCATTGACTGTCGAATCTGAGTAACAACCTTTAGGAACCAGACTCAGCATGTGGGTTGTTTAGCTCCCCCTAGCATGTGAAGGTATCCTTTCCACATACTCACAACTTCTTGTGTGTGTGTGTGTGTGTGTGTGTGTGTGTGTGTGTGTGTGTGTGTGAGAGAGAGAGAGAGAGAGAGAGAGAGAGAGAGAGAGAGAGAGTCTCACTCTGTCACCAGAGCTGGAGTGCAGTGGACACTTATGGTCACTGTAGCTTTGGCCTGCTGAACTCAGGAGATCCTTCTACCTCAGCCTTCCAAGTAGCTGGAGCCACAGGCGTGTGTCACCACACCCAGCTACTTTTTTTTTTTATTTATCGTAAAGACGAGGTCTCCCAAGTTACCCAGGCTGGTCTTGAACCCTTGGACTCAGGCAATCCTCTCTCCTCAACCTCCCAAAGTGCTGGGATTATAGGTGTGAGCCACCATGCCCAGCTGAAAATAAGTATACTTGTTGTAACCACACTATTAGTATGATTATTATGATTCCAAACATCTTAAACAAAAAACCTCATGGCTCTCATTTGCCTTGAAGGAAGTTGTATTGTCTATAAACTCTGCAAGCCCATTTAGGCCAATAACATGCTCAAATGCTCTCTTTCTGAACATTGTTCATTGTATCTGGTGGGATTTTGGTTCCCAGGAGTAGACACTTGTCTCTTCTGATCTGAAGTATCTACTAGCCCAGGAGTCTTTATCCCAGGTTTGGACACCCTTTAACCGCCATCCCCCCCCCACCCCGTGCCATACTGTTGAATCGTATTATAAGTGAACATTAAACAAATCATTATGTTAAAAATTGAAATGTAGCCAGACAGGGTGTCTCATTCCTGTAGTCCCAGCACTTTGGGAAGCTGAGGTGGGAGGATTGCTTGAGCCTAGGAGTTCAGAACGAGCCTGGGCAACACAGCGAGCTGGACATGTTGGTGCATGCCTGTAGTTCCAGCTACTTGGGAAGGCTGAGGTGGGAGGATCAGTTGAGCACAGGAGTTTGAGACCGCGGTGTGCTGTGACTGTGCCACTGTGCTCTGCCCTGGGGGACAGAGTGAGATCCTGACTCAAAAAACAAGCAAACAAGCCGGGCTCGGTGGCTCAGCCTGTAATCCCGCACTTTGGGAGGCTGAGATGAGTGGATTGCCTGAGCCTGCGGGTTCGAGACCTGCATGGGCAACTTGGTGAGACCTCATCTCTGCAATAAATCAAAAAAATTAGCCGGGCATGGTAGCGCGTGCCTGTAGTTCCAGCTACTTGGAAGGCTGAGGCGGAAGGATCGCCAGAGCCCAGCAGGTTGAGGTTGCGGTGGCCAGGAGCGGCCACTACACTCCAGTCTGGGTGACAGAGTGAGACTCCAACTCAAAAAACAAAAACAAAAACAAGCAAACACCCCAAAAAAACCCTGAAATGTGAGATGAGGAAACTTCTAGAAAAACACTTTTATTTCCTGCTTGTAGAAATCAAACACTGTCTCATGATGGGCTGCTACCATTACACGTGGGAAGTTGTGAATGAGAAGGATTCTGAGGTGATGATCTTGCTACCTTTATTTCAGAAAGTGATAGAATCGCTGTGGAGTACAGACACAGGAAAGAGATCCCAGATGTCAGGAACGAGGAAGAGCCCCACGCTTCAGTTCAGGTATGTGGAGATGGAGGCTCCAGGGCAATGTGGCCAGTGTAGCCATAGTTCAAAATGGCCGACAGGACCTGAGGTCTTTGCACATGTCTTTCTATGGGAAATGTGACCCCCTGATGCTGCTTTTGAGCGCAGGATATTGCTGGGGCCCTCCTGAAATCCTGGCCCTCGCTCTGACCCCTCATTTGAAGATTGGAGAGCAGAGCTGAGAACTGTTAGAGCACTACTATAGTTGAGGACACAGGAAGGGGGTGTCTCACCCACCAGGGGTCAGGGATGCAGAGCTGCTTGAACATAGGACTTCTCAGAGCTGCCTTCAGACAGGATCCCACGGGTGTAGGAAGAAGTAACTATGGTCTCTGGATGGTCGTGCTGCAGCTTTCAAAAACCATGAGGCCTTTCCAGTGTGGCTCATTATCTAGATCTCAACATCCATGTCTCTTGGAGGGAATATTTTGCTGAAAATCCTTTCTATAAATCAACTACAGTCACAAGCCACATAACATTTTGATCGATGGTGGTCCCACATGAGTGTAATGGAACCTTATCCAGGTATACCATTTAAAAATCTTTTATACCATACTTTAATTGTATCTTTTCTGTGTTTTAATACACAGATATTTCCATCATGTCCCGACTGTTTACAGCATTCAGTACAGTGATGCCTGGGAACAACAGGCGGCACCATATAGTGTGTGGAAGCCTGCACCAGCTAGGTGTGTTCGGCCCATTCCATGGTGTTCATATGGTGACAAAATCGCCCAGGGACGTGTTTTGCAAGTTCTTCCTCACATAGCGGCAACACACAACTGTCCATGAAAGCCCTTAATTAGGGGTTAAGTTGCTCAATTAACCTGCAAAAGAATATAGTCATTATTTACTGCATGCAGGGTTTTTTTTTTTTTAAGGAGCAAAAATGTGTTTTGTTTCAGTGGGAACTTAATTTGGGGCTAGATTTTTTTTAAAGATTTAACACACCTCAAAGTTGCAAAGTGTTTTGTTTTGAAGAAAGGTGAGAACATAGTTGGGTTCTGAAAAAATATTTGCAGTTTTTTCCATATAAAATAATTTATTTCAATCCAGTTTAAGTAAAACTCATCAGGGAAACACCAGACCTTACATCTAGCTTCCCAGCTGGGCACCATGGCTCACGCCTGTCATCCCAGCACTTTGGGAGGCAGAGGCGAGAGGATTGCCTGAGCCCAGGGGTTGGAGACCAACCTGGGCAACTTGGCAAGGCCTCATCTCTACAATAAATTTAAAAAACTTAGCCAGGTGTGGTGGCATGCACCTACAGTTCCAGCTACTTGGAAGGCTGAAGCAGAAGGATCACCTGAACCTAGCAGGTTGATGCTGTGGTGACTGTGAGCATCCCACTGCACTCCAGCCTGGGTGACAGAGTGAGACGCTGACTAAAAAAAAAAAGAATTTAAACTGGGCTGAGTGTGGTGGCTCACACCTGTCATCCCAGCACTTTGGGAGGCAGCGGCAATAGGATTGCCTGAGCCCATGGATTTGAGACCAGCCTGGGCAACATGGTGAGACCTTGTCTCTACAGTAAATCCAAAACTTGACTGGGCGTGGTGGTACACACCTGTATTTCCAGCTACTTGGAAGGCAAAGTGGAATTTAAGTTTTTTAAATTTAAGTTTTTTAAATTTATTGTAGAGATGAGGCCTCGCCAAGTTGTCCAGGTTGGTCTTCAACCCCTGGGCTCAGGCAATCCTCTCGCCTCTACCTCCCAAAGTGCTGGGATGACAGGCGTGAGCCACAGTGCCCAACTGGGAAGCTAGAGTCCAGCAGGTCAAGGCTGCGGTGGCCCTGAGCATGCCACTGCACTCCAGCCTGGGTGACAGGGTGAGACTCCAACTCAAAAAAAAAAGTCTAGCTTCCTGTGAAATGTGAAAAGAAGGAAGTCAGCACTGTTTTCAGAAATCTGATTGTGGCCACAGCTCCATCCCTTGGTGAGGCAAGTTTTGGAGTCACTTCTGTTTTAAACCCATGACTTTGCAGGTGCCTTTTCCAGGATCCTAAGCGTCTTTTTTGTGTGTACACACAGAGTCGACCTCTGAAAAGTGGGCTGTCACATTGAGGGTCACGGCTGTGCTGAGGCCGGGTGGGACTACAGTTCTACCCCCAACCCCAGGCTGGCGTAAAGGGCTGGCCGCTTGGATCAAAGCCTCTCCCAGACTGAACTGCCCAGCCTCAACCCCCACCCCCACCCCAGGATATGTTGGCACCTTCACTGATTCCCTGGCAGCCCCTACCTAACAGTGGTGAATCAGCGATCAGTCATGGAGTCAAGGATGCTGCAAGTTTAGTGAAAATGACAACGTGTTGGAGTTAATAACGGTCACGTGTGTCCTCATGCTGCCCTAACTGGTGCTCATTTTGCAGGCCAGTTGCTTTTCTTGGGCGCAGCATGTCCAGGAAGAGAAAGAGCATCTCTCGGGTTTCAGCTTGGAGGAGGAAGGGCTCAAGCTGCCCGAACTGGACTAGCCCTCCTGACTGTCCAGAGATGAGGCTCTGTGGCTTCCTTGGGAAGTTCTGCCGTCCTCCCCACCCCCTCCACCCCAGCGGGCAGCTGGAGTCCTGGGGCCACCCAGGTCTGCAGTCAAAATCCTGCCCTGCGACGGGGACAAGAGGCAGGGAGGCTTGGGCCTGACTGTGGGAAGAGGCTCGTTCTAGGGGTGCAGAGTCCATCTGGACCGTGCCAAATAAAGGTGTCAAGTAAAGGGCAGCCGGGGCACATGGTTGCCAAGGACCCAAGTGCAGCTGGGCTGCCATTGTGGCTTGGGCTGCCATTAGGGTTGGGGCTGCCTCCAAGTCTCGACTCCTACTCAGGGCGCTGTACTGACACCCCACTGTTTTGGGGTACGGTGCCCCACAACCTTCGCATATCATGTCACCACTAGGCCTTTTGGCCCTGCTGCTCCTCACAGTCCTTGTGGCTGCTGATCCTGGTGGCTCAGCTTCGGGAGGGGGCCCAGGCCTGGATTCCTCCCAGCATCTGCTGCCTGGGGCTCATTGCGCCCCTCCGATTTCCCACCCGCACCACCCTGTGTGCTTTTACCCCCAGCTAACCCAGCAAACTCTGACGACCCGGGATCCTCTGCTTCCTCCCAGATATTGGGCCTACGGCAGACATGGACTGGAGCCAGATCAGGTTGCTGTTGTGCTTCAAGATCTGAACCAGGTGATTCGGCAGGAAAGACTCCCAGAGGCTGTTCCCATATGAGCTCTGCCTCCTCCACCCAAAAATAAGATTAAAGACTTGGGTCTGGGTCGGGCTGCAGACCACAGACTCTGGGAATAAAGATGAAGCCCTTTCTTGAGCAGTCCAGAGTTCAAAAGCAGCAAAGTTTGTTGAACAACCTGAGGAAAGATCAGCTCAGCATCAGAGACTTGCCAAGGTGGTGGTTGGAACACCGCACCAGTTTGCATCTCAAGCACATAGTCTGCAGGATGGTTATTTGGACAGAAGCACGGACGCCCTTCCGCCCGGCAGCCTCCCTCTGGGGCTCCAGAATGCGGGCTGTCTCCAGGGCGCCACCAGCAAGCTGAACTTCCTCCTTCCTGCCAGAGGCCCCAAGAGACCCCATCCTCTTCATTCCCGCAGAGGGGCCCGGACCGGCCTCCACAGTCCCCTGGGGAGGCCAAGACTCGGCCGCCGGCGCACCTGGAGGCCAACGTGCTGCTTCCTGACCGGACGAAGCTCAGCGCTCGGATGTGCCGGCGTCACCGCGAAGCCTGCGGATGTGGCACTGACACCAAGCCACGCCAGCCCTGCTGAAGGCCCCACTCCACCTCTGGGTGGTCCCAAAGAGCGCACAGTGGCCCGGGAGCTTGGCCGCCTGGGGTTGCCTCGGAGGCTACGGCTCAGTCTGCAGCGCGTCGTGAGGTGGCGGCTTCGACACCGAGTCAGGGTCCAGCTTGGCACCCACCGTCGTCCCACGTCAAGGGTCAGCCTGGAGCCTGGGGCTCACCCACACCCCAGCACCCATGGTGGAGGCTGAGCAGACAGCAGCCCAGATGGCCGCAGTGCCTTCAAGCAGCCTGGCCGGGTTCAGAGCCGGCATGCAAACCTGACTCAAGGCGCAGCTCAGCCTTGGGACATGGAACTAGCCATGACTCCAGAGCCTGGTACAGAGGCTGAGCTCTCTCCAGCCACGCAGGGGACCCCGACTCAGCCAGACCTGGAGCTCATCATAACCCCAGAGCCCCCTGTGGAGGGCTGGACATTCCAGGCCCTCGAGAAGATGGCAGCGCCCCATCATCCCAGGGGCGGACTCAGCCTCCAATCCTGTCTACAACCAGAGGCCAACCTCTCCACATGGAGCCCACGGAGGACGCGCCGGTGCTGTCTGAAAGTTACACCCAAAACAAGGCTTCGGGTGTGCCAGAGGAACAGAGTACCACCACCAGCACGGATGTATGTGGCTCTCTTCGGGCAGAGATGAGATGTTGATCTCAGCCCATAGCAGAGGCTGCACCACATGTCTGTGCAGGAGGCTGGCCCTTATAAGGGCACCTTCACTGTCCTGTAAGACTCTTCTTTCATTACGCTCTGCTTCCTGCCTGACGTGGCCGCCTTTCCTTGCAGTCCCTTCTGAGCCTTCCTTGTCTTCCCAGACCACGTTGACTGACTTTCTGCTCTTGGCTCTGGCTTACCAGCTCCTTCCCCCACCCTCCTTTTCCCTGCTGCGCTGTCTCCCATCTCCCACCTGCGATTGCTCTTCCTCCTTCCATGGCACGGCTTCACCTCTGCTCTCCTGCCAGCTTTGCTCCACCCTCACCCTCTGTGCAGCAGCATGTCCGTCTCACCATCTCATTAATGATGCACAACAAAATGATTAGGAGGAGATCCTGGGCTGGACATGGTGGCTCACGCTTGTAATCACAGCAATTTGGGACGCCAAGGTGGGAGGGCCACTTGAGCCCAGGAATTTGAGACCAGCCAAAGCAACATAGCAAGACCGTGTCTCTACAAAATGTTTAGAAATTAGCCAGAGGTAGTAGCATTTGCCTGTAGCGCCAGCTACTCAGGAGGCTGGTGCAGGAGGATCGCCTGAGCCTGGGAGTTGGAGACTGCAGTGAGCCGTGACCATGTCACTGCACTTCATCCTGAGCAATGGAGTGAAAACCTGACTCAAAAAAAAAAGTAGGTCCTAGAGCCAGACTGCCTAGGTTGGAAGCCAGATCTGTTATTCATTAGCTTTGTGACCTTGGGCAAGTTCCTCGGCTCTGTGACTCAGTTTCCTCATCTTTAAAATGGGGATTATGATAGTTACCACTTCATAGGATTGTTGAGACTTAGGTGAATACATGTAATATGCATGTCAGTGCCCAGCATTGACATGTTCATTCCTTTTTTTTTTTTTTTTTTTTTTGAGTTGGAGTCTTACTCTGTCGTCCAGACTGGAGTGCAGTGGCTGCTCCCAGCCACCGCAGCCTCGACCTGCTGGGCTCTGGCAATCCTTCCGCCTCAGCCTTCCAAGTAGCTGAAACTACAGGCGTGCGCTACCATGCCCGGCTAATTTTTTATTTATTGTAAAGATGAGGTCTCGCCAAGTTGCCCAGGCGGGTCTCGAACTCACGGGCTCAGGCAATCCACTCACCTCAGCCTCCCAAAGGCACGGGATTACAGGCTGAGCCACTGAGCCTGGCTAACACGTTCATTCTTTGTTTTTGTTTTTGTTTTTTTGAGTTGGAGTTTCACTCCGTCGCCCAGACCGGAGCGCAGTGGCCGCTTCCGGCCACTGCAGCCTCTACCCACTGGGCTCCAGCGATCCTTCCACCTCAGCCTTCCGAGTAGCTGGAACTACAGGCGTGCGCTACCACACCTGGCTAATTTTTGATTTATAGTAGAGATTAGGTCTCGCCAAGTTGCCCAGGCGAGTCTCGAACCCACGGGCTCAGGCAATCCACTCACCTCAGCCTCCCAAAGGCACGGGATTACAGGCTGAGCCACCGAGCCTGGCTAACATGTTCATTCTTAATATTACTACTCAGTCCTTTAGTTATGCCCAGAACTCATCTTTGTCTCTGGCTTTCCGTATGTGGCATCCATTTGGGGCCCAACCCAGGGTAAATATGACATTGTCTCCAGGACATGGAAATGACAAGAGGAAAGAAAGGGAATAGGCATAAAGGGGAGGTGGTGTGTATGATGAAGCACTAAGAGAGAGGCCCACTGTAGGTGCTGTCATTCACCAGGATCTGCAGTTGCTGAGTCCACTCAGTGAATACTTCATGGATGAGAGGACACCTCACCTGTTCAATAGGGAAAAAATAGGACAGCTAGGTGGCTGCAGGTGAGGTGGGGAGTTAGACCAATCTGTCTGCAAAGAATTGGGTGAGATGCAGTGAAGATATTATGAAAAACCTTAAATATCGGCTCTAGGAGTTTGAAGGTTATACGGTGAGGTATGGAGAGCCATTGAAAGTTTTCAAGCAAAGGCCAGTGTGGTGGCTCATGCCTGTAATCCCAGCGCTTTGGGGGAGGCCAAGGCAGTAGGATAGCTTGAGCCCAGGAGGTGGAAGCTGTGGTGAGCTAAGATTGTGCCACTGCATTCCAGCCTGGATGACAGAGTGAGACCCAACTCAAAAAAAAAAAGCTTTCAAGTAAGAAACATTAAGAGATTAAGACAGGAGGATTGTTTTATAGTCCACATGTAGAGTACTCTGGAGGGGAAAGCTTAATTGAGGGAGACCAAATTGAAAGCTCTTGAAAAGTCTAGGAGTAAGTGAGACGGGGCCAAGCCAGATGGGTTGTGATGGGAGTGGGAAGTGCTACAGAAGAAGCTCAGACGGCCTTTAGTGATGGCTCAAAAGTGGGGAGTGGGGTGTGCCTCGTGGTGAGGGTAGCCTCATGTTATTTCTTGATTAATTTTTATTGATGTGATGGGTGAATTAAAGGGGTCCCAGCTAACTTTGAATTCCTCTGGTTACTCATTAATTTAAATATTTTTATATACTTAATACATACTTGTGTTTCTTTTCTGAGTTTTCTACCCTTTGTTCATTTTTTGTTGAATTGCTTTATCATTTTCTTTTTTTTTTAGTTGGAATCTCACTCTGTCGCCCAGACTAGAGTGCAGTGGCCACTCCCAGCCACCGCAGCCTCAACCTGCTGGGCTCCGGCGATCCTTCCGCCTCAGCCTTCCAAGTAGCCGGAATTACAGGCGCGCGCTACCATGCCCGGCTAAGTTTTTGATTTATTGTAGAGATGAGGTCTCGCCAAGTTACCCAGGCGGGTCTCGAACCCGCGGGCTCAGGCAATCCACTCACCTCAGCCTCCCAAAAGTGCGAGATTATAGGCTGAGCCACCAGGCCTGGCTGTTTTATCATTTTCTTATTGATTTGTAGAAGGAATCAGTTTAGACACATAAATAATTTGGGGGGAAAACTTCACATTCAGAGTAATTAACTGGTATTTTTCACAACAGTTTCTGCATCAGCATTAGTTCAATTTATTTAGACAAGTCATAAATGATTTT